CAAAGTAGATGTCATAACCGACTTGCCAAAACTATAGTTTGTTAACAAGAAATGTGTGGACTTCAATTGTATATTGATCTTAACACATTTCTCCAATACCAAACCAGTGTGTCTTGTTTACAATGAAACTCTCACTGTTTGCAAGAAATTCATTCTGAGATGTCATTATGAATCTAAGCATGGTACTTTCAGAAGTTAATTTTCCACCCCAGACATGAGACCTGAGTCCGACGCAGAAAGGAGGTAGGTGGCCTATTTAAGGAGTGCATGGTGACCGTATTGGAGGAAATAGCTATACCGACAAATATATGGATAAACATAATTGCGTCTGTCAAACAGGTAAGCCTACCTCTTATTTCTTAGCGTTCCAACAAAGCCCTCTTGTTAGTAAATGTGCCTACTCAACTTTCAGCACTGGGCGCTGTCCATTATTATTTTAGAAATAGAGATCTGGCTGCATCTCTAATCTTTTTTCTAATTTATACAATTATATTCCATTCTCTTGTTTTTATGGACATATTCCCACTAATATTGTAATGAAGCTTTCACGTGTGTTTTACACTTTTTATCAAGCTGTTGGTGCTTGCTTCAATTTATGCCAAATCATTTGACCGCTGTAGGTTGAGATTCATGTTTCCTAACGTTATTCCTTTACAATTTTCTGTTGCGAATAGAGAAGACCATAATCCATCACATCCCACATTATGTTAATGAAGTCCCCATGTGTATATAACACAAATGTGTGTTTGGGTCTGGATTGGAAAGGTGTGAAACGTTTCAACGAGAGAAAAAAGCCAATCAAGCTTATCGTATAAGTTCTATTCAGTTTATGAGCCATCACTCCTCATGCCATGAAGGACAAAATAATACTAGCATTAAACTTTGATTCATTGATTGAATAAAACTATATCAATGTATTTGAATCATATGATGGAAAAGTTCAAACAATTTAGATTTAGGTTTGTCCTACATGAGGAAATCTTAGCACTTCTCACACATCACATAGGCCTAAACAAAACATATTGAAAACACAGCAGGAAACAAACAATAGGAACAGCAGGCAAATACCTTTCCTACCCTCCCATCCCACCCCACACCTGCCCATATGGGGAGTTGTTCATAATAGTGATAGCCCCTGGGATGAAACTTCTCCTGAAGCGCCATTTAATTGTCTGATTTCTCCGACCTGATGGGAGATCAAAACAGTGGTAGTGGTTGGTCTGGGCTGGAGATCATGTGGTGGGCTTTGCGCTGTATAGCTTGTTCGTTCAGCAGATGAGGGGGATCCAATCAGTTTAGATGCCGTGAAAACTGGTCCTCTTAAATTGTAACTTCAAGTTGCACATCAAAATATTTAGGGTCATACGACTGTATGCTTTGCCATTACTCCCCTTCACAACAGGGCTGCCAATAATATAGGGTTGCTGCTATAAGACGTAGCCTGAATGTGAAAATAATGGACCTGTGAAAAAAACTATAAAATAACTCCCCACTACCATGAGATGTATATTTATTTTATATTAATTGATTGGTGACCACAGCCCTTCTAAAAATACATTGAAATTGTGTTTTAAGGCGATTTTCTCCACCCGGCTCCATGTATTCAGTGTGTTTCATTTCAAATTTGGCTCCCAGTGCTGCTTTACCAGGCTTTACCAGGCTTTACCGGGCTATTATGGCGCATCTGACAGTTCCTTCTCTGTATGTTCATAGCAACCCTGTCCCTGTCGACAGCGGATAACATTTTTCGTCAGTACCCCCCCACCCGTCGACAGCCTCCCCAACCCTAAACATCTTCCCGCTGCCATGTTGTTGATATAGTCCCAAAATATTTTGCATGTCAGAAATCAAGTTTTCAAGATACATAACTTTAGAAATACAGAAATACAGCCGGTATGATGCATTTTGCATCATATGATGCTGCATTTAGCATCGTATGATGCAAAATGCATCATACCAGCTGTATTTATTAAGTTACATATCTTGAAAACTTGATTGCTGACATTCAAAACATTTTGGGACTATATCAACAATGGACTAATTAAACAAATACCAAAATATAGTTTTTGTGTGGAGTTTTCCTTTAAGAAGCTTTTGGGAAACGGGGCCCAGAGCCACCAGAGTGGGTTTGGAAACGTGCTGCTGCTATGTGATGAGGGAAGCATAGCGCTCAGGATCCCCATGAACAGGACACCCTTTGTATCCTGAATAAGTAATGTGTGTGTAGCGGTGATCTTGGGCTGTTTCTGGGAACGCTCTGTCACTGCCCTAAACTAGCCCCAGACACCAATTCACCACCTTGCTGTGCCTCTAGACTAGAAGTCACACTAGCAGACTAGTCCACACAGACAGTAGCCTATTAGGTACAGCAGGATAAATGACACATTCCTTTGAGGTATTTAATGCCATGACTCCGAATGGGGAGATTTGAAGAAGGCCGTCTTGCATACAGAATAGCTGTCCATCAGATTAAAACTGAGTTTTGTGGGGAAATAGGCTCATTTGAACAGCAGGACTACAAAGAGATCTTTACCAGTTTTCCCAAGCCATTGATGTGTCATACATTTTAGTCATTTAGCAGACGCTCTTATCCAGAGTGACTTACAGGAGCAATTAGGGTTAAGTGCCTCGCTCAAGGGCACATCGACAGATTTTTTTACCTAGTCGGCTCGGGGATTAGAACCAGCGACCTTTCGGTTACTGGCACAATGCTCTTAACCACTAAGCTACCTGCCTACCCAGGCAGCACTGTGTAAATGTGAAATTACTCTCTTGCTCTTTCTTCTCTCTATCTCACACACACGTTATCATACACACCAGTAAGCCAGATAGGCAGCTGCTCTACTACCAAATGTATCAGTGTCTCTGAGCACCAACTGGCCTAGTTGTTACTGTCATAACAAAAGCAGAAAGAGGACTTTCATCTATTCTGTCATTGTTTTCATATCTAACATGATAAAATTGCGGTTTTTTTTCAAATCCTTTCCATTATTATATTTCAAATCAATTTACTCAAATAGCTCATTTTATTATTTACTTAGGCTATACAGGGAAACATTTTTAAAACCTAGATGTAAATATAGCCTATTTGAGTCCTTCTCAGTAGAACTGTTGATTTTCAGTGCTGCAAATGTCCAGTTCCAAATCATATGGCGGACACCAGTACTGAAAATAAACCCGTCTGATCATCACCCAGAACTGCCCGAAGAGATAGCCTAAAGGCCACGCAGTTTATCACTGAATCACCTATCAGGGATTATGAGTAATTCTCGACTGCGTCAGTCTTGGCCATGTGGTGTCCAGAAAGCAGCCATGTCGCATGGTGGCCTAGAGCAATTTCCATTATGAATACTCAAATATGCGTGTCCTTTCGTGATGATTTCCATAGCTACTGACTGACCAAGTACTTCGCCATGGCGCATGATGTGAAAGACTCCCTTTGTAAAGGCTGACTGGCTGAATGTTGAGAGCATGCCGCAATGCACCTGTCCGCGCCATTCTTCAACAGATATGCAATTTCAATAGAATTAAATACATCTAGTTAATTGAAAATACAGTTTAGGATTAGACATAGACTCGTAATACATATGCCTGCCTCCGTTGGCATATGAATTACGACCACATTTGAGAACTTGTGCTCAGGCTAAAGATGTCGGGGAACGTGATTAATATTTTCCTTCAGCACCAAGTACCAATAATCTAATTTCACAAAACAACCCATTTGACAGTTGTCCCAGACAACATTATAAAAAGGGGCCCCTTTATATATCACAGAAACCATGCTGACAGGCTAAGAGCGCCTTTGTCTGTCGCATGACCTAACTGTGAGACCGACAATGAAGAACGCCAATTCACACGATTATATTCTCAAACAATTAATTGCTAACAATTTTACAATTAATTCCCGCCTTCCGTATCCGAAACCGCGGAATAGGCAAGACTCATATTGCGCCTACTTACCTTGTAATGACGAGAAATGCTGTAGTCAGCTCAATGTTTTCACTATGTTGCGACGGTAAACAAAGCTGATGTCGTTGTGAGTACCAAAACGATGACATTAAGGTCATAATTATAAATTGTAACACTGTAAATGTATCACTCCAATAGTTACGCACGACTACGCTGCAGTAACACGCTTACGTAGAGCGTAACCTTTATTTTCCCCTGATTCACATCGAACCAAATACAACATAGCATATGGCTGGGATGCCCCTCCCCATAATTGGTAGAGTAGATCATAGCCAACTAGTTTTTTCGTCAATAGGAGGTGAGAATGGGAGGGCTGCATTGAACTGTTGTGTTCAACTTCCCACATAGGAGGTAGCCTAACTAAAGAAAGGATCATAAAAAAATTCCACAACAGCCAAAAATAACACTTGAGATCATTGGTACAAACAAAACAAGTAACAGTTTTAATACATAGAGTAAACACTTCCACTCAATTATTTTACATACATCTATAATCTAATTAATCCAAATATATGGTAATTGTGTACTCAAGAATTAGGCAGTTGAGAGTCTATTGACGCAATCTAATTAACGTGATAATGAAATCCCCATCAAAATCGGTCAGTTTAAACTAGAGATATCTTTGGTGGAATGTGGCAGAGCTACAGGGCTGTTTGTCAGACCAATCGATGGTGTTCTCCGTTTTGCTCTACGACCCCTACAAATGTCACGGGACACGTCTGAAGGTAATCCATACAAATGAATGGAAGTATGGAGGTAGTTGTGCCAACAAAAAAATGGGGTTAAAATGTGTCCAAAAAACAAAAATTTCCTGAGTTTTCTTATATCTCATAGATATAGGACAGACACTTTAAAACCTTATGATTTATTTTTTTGATTTATTGTCTTTTTTTCCATTTATGAATGTGTTATTCAATGTGTTTCTATGGGCTATAGTAGTAAAGACCAAATTCAATATTCTATCAAATAATTTGTAGGTTGGTCGCGGCGGGGCCCTACGCGCAGCGCGTACTCTGTGTATAGGCACTGACTACAACCCCAAAATCTCTGACATTGTGTGCCTTTGTGAAAAGATAGAGTCGGAGACATCCCACTTTGGTTTCCTCATAAAGTTCCTCCACAGTGCTTGAATTGTTTACTTGAGAGTACCTCCACCTAATTTCTCTATGATAGTCCTCCAGTTGTGTGTTTTTCTTTGAAAGTCCATTTGGGAAAAACATTTCCTCTGCCATTACTTTGATTTCTTCAACAGTTTTCTTTTTGTCAACATAGAGGTGTCTTGTACCGCCACCGTTTACTGTCCTGACTTGCTTGTACTCTTGCCCCTTTTCATTGAAGTCCATCCAGCCTAGTTCAATTATTCTCTGTTTCTTCTTGGCATTCGTATTCCCCAACAATCCAGTTTTCAATCGTGTGGTTTGTTTGTCCCTAACAGACCCTAATCTGCCTCTCAAGCTCTCTGTTATGGCATCCATGTAATTCCCTTGGCTGCAAAATGTGGATAGTCCGTCTCCATACTCTGACAAATCACTGTCCGCCATAAATGGGATGACTGAAGTATCAATCTGCAAAAACATGGAGAACAATGATTTGTAACACAAGGTTTCAATTGTAAAATAACGTATTATTTTGGTTTTGACTGTAAATGTTGTGCTACTAAGTGAGAACTTAACATATCCATTTCACAAAACGAAATATGGTTACTCGCCTAACACTTACACTTTCATTGGTTTGCACTGGTACGCCCTCGTCTTTAATCCAGTCCTCCTCTTCAATCCAATCATCCGCATAATGTACAATTCTCCTTTTCCTTTTCTGTGAAAAGTCCAAATATTGATAATAAATTAAATAATCAAAGTTATCAGTTGTCAAAATAATATACAGTGCCTTCAGAATGTATTCATACCCCTTGACATATTCCACATTTTGTTGTGTTACAGCCTTAATTCAAAATGGATTAAATATTTTTTTTTTCACCGTTCTACACACAATACCACATAATGAAGTGAAAACATGTTTTTAGAAATTGTCGCACATTTTTTGAAACAGAAATACAGAAACATCTAATTTACACCCGAGTCAATACTTTGTAGAAGCACCTTTGGCAGCATTTACAGCTGTGAGTCTTTCTGGGTAAGTCTCTAAGAGCTTTCCACACCTGGATTATGCAACATTTGCCCCTTATTCTTTATAAAATTATTCAAGCTGTCAAATTGGATGTTGATCATTGCTAGAAAAACATTTCCAGGTCTTGCCATACATTTTCAAGTAGATTTCAGGCAAAACTGTAACTCGGCCACTGTCTTCTTGGTAAGCAACTCCAGTGTAGATATTTGGCCTTTTGTTTTAGGTTATTGTCCTGCTGAAAGGTGAATTAATCTCCTAGTGTCTAGTGGAAAGCAGACAACCAGGTTTTCCGCTAGGATTTTTTGCTCCATTCCGTTTCTTTTTTATCCTGAAAAACTCCCCAGTCCTTAACAGATTACAAGCATACCCACAACATGATGCAGCCACGACTATGCTTGAAAATATGGAGAGTGGCACTCAGTAATGTGTTGTATTGGATTTGCCCCAAACATAACACTTTGTATTCAGGACAAAAGGTTAATTGCTTTGCCACATTTTTTACATTATTACTTTAAATCAAATCAAATCAAATTTTATTGGCCACATGCGCCGAATACAACAGGTGCAGACATTACAGTGAAATGCTTACTTACAGCCCTTAACCAACAGTGCATTTATTTTTAATAAAAAAGTAAAATCAAACAACAACAAAAAAGTGTTAAGAAAAAAAGAGCAGAAGTAAAATAAAATAACAGTAGGGAGGCTATATATACAGGGGGGTACCGGTGCAGAGTCAATGTGCGGGGGCACCGGCTAGTTGAGGTAGTTGAAGTAATATGTACATGTGGGTAGAGTAAAAGTGACTATGCATAAATAATTAAAAGAGTGGCAGCAGCGTAAAAAGATGGGGTGGGGGGGCAGTGCAAATAGTCTGGGTAGCCATGATTAGCTGTTCAGGAGTCTTATGGCTTGGGGGTAGAAGCTGTTGAGAAGTCTTTTAGACCTAGACTTGGCACTCCGGTACCGCTTGCCGTGCGGTAGCAGAGAGAACAGTCTATGACTAGGGTGGCTGGAGTCTTTGACAATTTTGAGGGCCTTCCTCTGACACCGCCTGGTATAGAGGTCCTGGATGGCAGGAAGCTTGGCCCCAGTGATGTACTGGGCCGTACGCACTACCCTCTGTAGTGCCTTGCGGTCGGAGGCCAAGCAGTTGCCATACCAGGCGGTGATGCAACCAGTCAGGATGCTCTCGATGGTGCAGCTGTATAATTTTTTGAGGATCTGAGGACCCATGCCGAATCTTTTCAGTCTCCTGAGGGGGAATAGGCTTTGTCGTGCCCTCTTCACGACTGTCTTGGTGTGCTTGGACCATGATAGTTCGTTGGTGATGTGGACACCAAGGAACTTGAAGCTCTCAACCTGTTCCACTACAGCCCCGTCGATGAGAATGGGGGCATGCTCAGTCCTCTTTTTTTTTTCCTGTAGTCCACAATCATCTCCTTTGTCTTGGTCACGTTGAGGGAGAGGTTGTTATCCTGGCACCACACGGCCAGGTCTCTGACCTCCTCCCTATTGGCTGTCTCATCGTTGTCGGTGATCAGGCCTACCACAGTTGTGTCGTCGGCAAACTTAATGATGGTGTTGGAGTTGTGCCTGGCCATGCAGTCATGGGTGAACAGGGGGTACAGGAGGGGACTGAGCACGCACCCCTGAGGGGCCCCTGTGTTGAGGATCAGTGTGGCAGATGTGTTGTTACCTACCCTTACCACCTGGGGGCGGCCCGTCAGGAAGTCCAGGATCCAGTTGCAGAGGGAGGTGTTTAGTCCCATTGTAGTCAATGAATAGCATTCTCACGTAGGTGTTCCTCTTGTCCTGGTGGGAAAGGGCAGTGTGGAGTGCAATAGAGATTGCATCATCTGTGGATCTGTTGGAGCGGTATGCAAATTGGAGTGGGTCTAGGGTTTCTGGGATAATGGTGTTGATGTGAGCCATGACCAGCCTTTCAAAGCACTTCATGGCTACAGACGTCAGTGCTACGGGTTGGTAGTTATTTAGGCAGGTTATCTTAGTGTCCTTGGGCACGGGGACTATGGTGGTCTGCTTGAAACATGTTGGTATTACAGACTCAGTCAGGGACATGTTGAAAATGTCAGTGAAGACACTTGCCAGTTGGTTAGCACATGCTCGGAGTACACGTCCTGGTAATCCGTCTGGCCCTGCGGCCTTGTGAATGTTGACCTGCTTAAAAGTCTTACTCACATCGGCTACGGAGAGCGTGATCACATAGTCATCCAGAACAGCTGGTGCTCTCATGCATGCTTCAGTGTTGCTTGCCTCGAAGCGAGCATAGAAGTGGTTTAGCTCGTCTGGTAGGCTTGTGTCACTGGGAAGCTCGTGGCTGTGCTTCCCTTTGTAGTCTGTAATAGTTTTCAAGCACTGCCACATCCGACGAGCGTCAGAGCCGGTGTAGTACGATTCAATCTTAGTCCTGTATTGACTCTTTGCCTGTTTGATGGTTTGTCGGAGGGCATAGTGGGATTTCTTATTAGCGTCCGGGTTAGAGTCCCGCTCCTTGAAAGCGGCAGCTCTACCCTTTAGCTCAGTGCGGATGTTTCCTGTAATCCATGGCTTCTGGTTGGGGTATGTACGTACGGTCACTGTGGGGACGACAACATCAATGCACTTATTGATGAAGCCAGTGACTGATGTGGTGTACTCCTCAATGCTATCTGAAGAATCCCGGAACATGTTCCAGTCTGTGCTAGCAAAACAGTCCTGTAGCTTAGCATCTGCGTCATCTGACCACTTTTATATTAGTGCCTTGTTGCAAACAGGATGCTTGTTTTGGAATATTTTTTATTCTGTACAGGCTTCCTTCTTTTCACTCTGTCAGTTAGGTTAGTATTGTGGAGTAACTACAATGTTGTTGATCCATCCTGTTTTCTCCTATCATAGCCATTAAACGGTTTTAAAGTCACCATTGGCCTCATGGTGAAATCCCTGAGGGGTTTCCTTCCTGTTCAGCAACTGAGTTAGGAAGGAAGCCTGTATCTTTGTAGTGACTGGGTATATTGATACACCATCCAAAGTGTAATTAATAATTTCACCAAAGGGATATTCAATGTCTGCTTTTTTATTTTATCCCATCTACCAATAGGTGCCCTTTGCGAGGCATTGGAAAAAGATCCCTGGTCTTTGTGGTTGAAATTCACTGCTCTACTGAGGGACCTTACAGATAATTGTATGTGTGGGGTACAGAGATGAGGCTAGTAATTCAAAAACCATGTTAAACACTATTGCAACTTATTATGTGACATAAGCAAATGTTTACTCCTGAACTTATTTAGGCTTACCATAACAAATGGGTTGAATGACTCAAGGCATTTCAGCTTTACATTTTTAATTAATATGTAAAGATTTCTAAAAACACAGTTCCACCTTGACATTATGGGGTATTGTGTGTTGGCCAGTGACCAAAAAGCTCTATTTAAAGCTGCAATATGTAACTTTTTAGGCGACCCGACCAAATTAAAATAGAAATGTGAGTTCTAGATCTGTCATTCTCATTGAAAGCAAGTCTAAGAAGCGGTATATGTTATATGTGCACTATTTCTATGCTTCCCATCTCCTTTTTGAGTATTTTACTTTCGGTTTTGTACACCAGCTTCAAACAGCTGAAAATACAATATTTTTGGTTATTGAAAATATATCACAGTGGTTTAGATGGTACAATTATTCTCTACACTATATACAGTGCATTCGGAAAGTATTCAGAGCCCTTCACTTTTTCCACATTTTGTTACGTTACAGCCTTATTTGAAAATTTATTAAATTGTTTGTTTTTCCTCAATCTACACACAACACCCCATAATAACAAAGCAAAAACAGGTTTCTAGAAATTTTAGCAAATACAAAACTGAAATATCACATTTACGTAAGTATTCAGACCCTTTACTCAGTACTTTGTTGAAGCACCTTTGTCAGCGATTACATCCCCACAGCATGATACTGCCACCACCATGCTTCACCGTAGGGATGGTGCCAGGTTTCCTCCATTTACATTTTTAGTCATTTAGCAGACGCTCTTATCCAGAGCGACTTACAGTTAGTGAGTGCATACATTTTCATACTGGCCCCCCGTGGGAATCGAACCCACAACCCTGGCGTTGCAAGCGCCATGCTCTACCAACTGAGCTACACGGGGCCTCCAGACGTGACGCTTGGCATTTAGCCCAAAGAGTTCAATCTTGGTTTCATCAGACCAGAGAATCTTGTTTCTCATAGTCTGAGAGTCCTTCAGGTGCCTTTTGGCAAACTCCAAGCGTGCTGTCATGTGCCTTTTACTGAGGAGTGGCTTCCGTCTGGCCACTCTACCATAAAGGCCTGATTGGTGGAGTGCTGCAGAGATGTTGTCCTTCTGGAAGTTTCTCCCATCCCCACAGAGGAACTCTGGAGCTCTGTCAGAAGGACCATCGGGTTCTTGGTCACCTCCCTGACCAAGGCCCTTCTCCCCCGATTGCTCAGTTTGGGCAGGCGGCCAGCTCTAGGAAGAGTCTTGGTGGTTCTAAACTGCTTCCATTTAAGAATGATGGAAGCCACTGTGTTCTTGGGGACCTTCAATGCAGCAGAAATGTTTTGGTACCCTTCCCCAGATCTGTGCCTCGACACAATCCTGTCTCAGAGCTCTACGGACAATTCCTTCGACCTCATGGCTTGGTTTTTG